TCCTCCATTGGATTGAGATCCAAGGGCTAGGATTAGGGAGTGGTCTGGCATAGGACTCTATTTTTTTTGTGTTCCAATGTGTAAAGAGGTATATATGTAAATGTTTTTTTTTTTTTGGTATTTTAGGTATTTTATTTAACTTGATTTACTTGATTTTCATTTAATTAAAATTGATGGAGTTTGGGTTAAGATTGACATTTGATTTAATTTAGTTTATGTTTTGATTTAAATTGAAGGTTAATTATTTTTTTTTAGTTTGTTAAGGTTTGATTGTTTCATTTTAAATTAATTTAACTGAAATTAAGAAAAAAATAGTTTCATTTTTAGAGGTATTTACATACATATCATATGCATACATATATAAGAAGTGGTATACATGTATACTCTCTTTAATTTCATGTGTTTAGTTTGTTCTAATTTTAATTATATTTTAGTTTTAATCTTGTAATTTATATTTATTTTTAGTTTTGATATTTGTGTTAGGTTATATCTCATGTTTAAGTTTAAATTTAATTTATTTAATTTTAGATTTTAACTATGTTTATTTGTTTTGTTTAACGTTTTATATTCAATTTGATTTAAGTGTAAGTTTAATATAATTGTTAGTGTAGTTTTATGTTAAGTTCTGTAATTCATAAGTTAATTTAAGTTTTTGTATTGCTTAATTTATTTTTTTTTTGTAAAATTTTAAGCTTATGTTGATTTCAAGGTTTTAAATTTTAATATTTAAAATTTTTTAATTAAGATGAATTTATGTTAAATCCGGTTTGAATTTAAGTGTTATTTAAGCTTTAATTGAATTAGATTAAAATTTTATTTAAATTAAATTTAATTTTAATTTTAATTTAAGCTAAAGCCCAAATTGAAGACCAAAAGAAGACCTAACTAAATCTTTAGGGTCAAAATGGTGGCTTAAGACATTTTCAACCTATGAAAACTCAATTTAAGCTTCAATGGCCTAATCTCAATCAGCTTAGCCAAGGAACTAAGGATTTGAAGTTAAGCCTATGAAACTCTAGGGAGTGCAGAGGTGTTTTGAAGTTCTATTTTGGTATTAGTTTTTCCGCTATTATTCTAGGAAAGCTATTAAGGAAACTGTAAAACTAGATTCTATGTTCTAATGGAGGAAGGGTAAGATAGACCTCTTACATAAATTAGGTCATCACACTCAGCTTAGTTTTATGCATCTCTTTATAGGCCAACATTCTGCGCCACAAAGCATTGTAGTTCTCACCTTCTTATAAAATTTTCCTTCAAGTCTATTGGTAATTTTCTATCACACAATAGGCCCGACGCATTCCTCAACTTCAATCACCCAACTCAAATTCTACTAATAAAATTCCCATCAATATCACCATCACTGAACAATTGGCTCGAGATATATAAAACGTTAACTCTTTTTAATGATTCAATCACGCAACTTGAATTCTGCTAATAACATTCCCATATATATATCACTATCACTAAACAATAAACCCGAGATTTCTAAAACGGTCACTCATTTTAATAATTTGATACCCATTATTACAACTTCGCCGCTAGATATACTACTACTAAAAGTACATTCAATGTACTCAATTTTAAATCTACTCAAACAAAGGCTTTTAAACTCTAAAGTAGACCTCCATGAAGACATTTTATTATTAATTGCACAAAGTCTTAGATCTGCAAAATTTTAAATTGAGATGTAGTTTGTTGAAAAGTTTGGAACATAAAGACATTTTTAAAGTTAGAGAAATTGTGCGACATGGATATCTCTCAGTCTTTCAACCATAGCAAGAAAGCATTTCCAGTAATTATTTTCTTTATTCTAGTGTATGAGGTATAAATGCCAAAATATTGGCTCTCACCGAAGAGTTAATCTAACACTTTTTTAAGATATATTATCTGAAAGGAAATGGAGACTTAAGAGATTAATAAGCATATACTGGAAATTTTCTTTTCGAAGGAACCTATTGATTCTCTTTAGTTTTCAACCTCTTCATCTTTATATCCTCGTTTATTTTGCTCTTTACTGTGGTAGTTTTGTAATGTCAGTTGAGATTGAGATTGAGACTTTATGTTGGGCAGCCCAGCTTTTCATTTTGGTGGGTATGGATCTGAAAATAGGAGGGCGATGATGAAAGAATTTGGACTTACAAGATCGTAAAATCTTAGAAAAGGAGCCTGCTGTAGTTCTTTCATTTTTTAATTTTGTTTGGAAATAGTCATGATTGGAGGCTTGGAGCTGGGAAAATTGCAACTGTTTTGAATCAGATCTAGTTGTTGCAGCACTGTAGATCTTTCATTGGAGTATATTGCGAGAGGGAGATCGCATCTATAAAGGTTGTGATGGACCAAAATAGGAAAGAAACTATAGCAAGATGGTTCACCTCAAAAGGAATATTATCTGATTCGAAAAAAAGTGGCTTGAAGGATTGCATTAATGAGGGCTACTCTTGCTTGAGAAGTATATGCAAAACAATGAAGGCTATGATGGTCGGTAGAAGCTCACTAAAAAAAATAGGCAAATTTACATACATACCACACAATTTTTATGTATTTACATATCTAAAACTCAAAGTTTGATGTTTACACTTATAACACTTTGATGTCATAAACTCATGCATAAAAAGGTGTGTTTTGCTTTTAAAAATATGGTAATGGTGGTATTTTTGATGTGATGTTCAGGATTGGAGTGGTATGCATGTAAAAATGACTGTTTAGGTGTTATATTTAAAAGCATTAGAATTATGTGGTATGTATGTAAATGCTCACACAATAAAAGTCCGAGGGCTCATGAAAAGTACAGTTACAGGTAGAAACCCTCGGCTCTGATACCATGTGGCGAACATAAGAGCATTTATGAATTTTGCTTAGTCTTTGAGGTTTTTGATATATATGTTGTTCAATTAGGATGGAAAATAGGAACTAGTTTTCACCAAAGTAGGAAAGTATCTACAGCTATGCAAATAACATCTGTAATTCGAATATATGCATTTTGATTTTAAATTCAAGTATTTTAATGTACTGTTTCACTATCAAGTAAATTCTGAATTTTTTTCTGACATGAATCTGTAGGATCTTGATATATTCATTGGCATTACATTGGGGTCCTGATTTCTTTCTCCTGCATGTATCTATGAGTTTCATTTCTTTAGATGTTCATTCTTGTGCAGTCTCCTTGAAACCTAATATTTTCATTCGTGGACATTATTTTAACAAAAAGCGTACTAATTTAAATTTTATTTCGGCAATCTCCACCTTCGCACCCCAGTGCTACTATATTCTTGATACACATGTGTGTGTGCATGTGGATATTTGTATTTTCTGCCCAGATTGATTAAATTTAGTCAACTATTATAGTGATCTCTTTTAGATGAATCACTTAATATCTTACAGGCAATTTTCTTGTAGTCTAGGCTTATGTTTGAGCTCATATCCGAAGAAGTTTATTTTAATTCGAGTTTTTAGCTACGTATAGTCTGGTTTTTGATATATTTGTGGACCCTACAAAATATGTTCTCAATTAGGGGTGTAAACAAGCCAAACCTGAGTGGGTCCAAGCTTTGTTCATGTTCGGCTTGTTCGAATTCTCGTAATTGTTCGCCAAGAGTCTTTTCATTTGCAGTTGGAAATATGTTCAATTTCGGCTGGTGTTGGCTTGAAAATGAGCTCGAACCAAAATAAATTAATAAATTTTGACAGATTTTTTTCCAGAAAATTCTTTTGTAGAGAGATCGGCTTGCATTCAAGCTCAGTTTATCAAAAAACTCATTTTACCTTTTATCAAATGGAGTATTGGATGTCATAAAATTAAATATATTTTAATGTATTAATCTATCATCATAAAACTATTAATTTCTTAGCCAACACTTGCCACTCTTCCACCAACTTATACAACTCCTCAAAGTGCCTAATTTTGTACTAATCAATGTGAGACTAAAGGTAGGCGGTAGTTAGATGAGGCGGGGACTGCGGGGTAGTTCGAGTGATATTTAACATGATACCACCCAACATATAAGTATTTACATGAGTAAATGCCAGGGGAGGGGTGGGCGGGACAAGAGGCTTGTCTAGGGGAATTTACATACATACCACCCAATTTTTATGTATTTACATATATCTAAAAGCTCAATACTAAAATTTCTGGGGTCATTTACATACATACCAGCCAATTCTTATGTATTTATATATCTAAAAATTCTAAGGGCATTTATATACATACCACCCAATCCCTCTGTCTTTACATATGTAGCACCTAAAATTTGTTTTTTTCACATTTATGTAAATCAAAATTTTGGTATCATATCAAAGATATTATTAATTTATTTTTTACATATTATCTTTTTATTATTTAATTAATTTGAGCCAAAAACAAGCCTAACATGATCAAACAAAAGCCTGTTCTTGTTCGGCTCATTTATAGATCAAGCCCACAAAATTTATTCTGTGTTGAGCTCGTTTGCTTAACAAATGATTCAAACACAAGCTTTTTGCGAATAACGAGCTTTTTAGACATCTTTATCTCAATGTTGGCTTAATTATTTGATGTTCATTATTGACTTGTTTGGCACTGTGACTGAGGCAGTGGTTCTTATAATCTGCTTGTGAAATACACCAATGAGTATGAAATGAATATTTATTGCTGTAATTCTAGTAAGTTTAAAGGTTTATTTTTCTCTTTTTTGTAGAAAAAAGTGGCGTAAGGCAAATAAAGATCAGTTAAAATAAATATTCATTTTTTGTTGGTTGTAAAGTGGGTTAGATGTGTTTGCACCTTTTTTGGAGCTTTGTCTTATGATTTAAATTAAATTTTTAAAGATATAAATGCATGCCACTCAATTCCTATATGTACCATGCAATTCCTATGCATGGAAAGGCATCTTTCACTGTTTAAAAGTTGTGATATTTTTATGTGATACGAAAGATTTATGCGGCATAACTGTTAAATATATAAATATATAGGAATTGGGTCTGTGTATGTAAATGCCCCTAAAATATTTTGTTCTTTCTTGCAGAAGTTGGTCTTCCAAGCGGGATCCCTTCCTTCCAAGGTGTTATGTTTGACACAGGTAGTTACAGAGGATGAGTTGAAGGACGACGAAGAATATGAAGATATATTGGAAGACATGAGAGGAGAAGGCGGAAAATATGGTTTGAAACTCAGCTTTTTTTTATCTGATACCATTTTTATAACATTTTATTACGCTTTGCAAATTTTTCCTATGATTTTCAATTTCTTTTTTCACCCTTGCACGCAGAAGATGCTGTAGTTTTCCTTTTTTTTTTTCTTGCTGCGATCTTAAGTTCAAGAGTAACTAACAATGTTTTCTTAGGCGCTTTGGTGAATATTGTCATCCCTCGTCCCCCTCCTAATGGTGATCCAGTTCCTGGAGTTGGAAAGGTTTGTATTTACATATACAAGGAATTTTGCTTCACAGATAGAATAAAATAAAATAAGGGGCATTTACATATATACCAAACAATTCTTATGTATTGACATATCTAACACAATAAACTTCAACTTTTTTACATTCACGACACTCGATCTTTAACATCATATAAAACATACATACCGCTTCAACTAACTTTTTAAAAATCAAATGCATATTTTTTTTTTTTGCATTGATTTATAGGACCAATGTGTTATAAATGTAAATATTAACTATGTAAATCCATAAGAATTGTGTGGTACTAATATATTTCCCATGAAATAAATATTTGGAATTTTGCTTCTGTTATTTTAAAGCATTCTGGATCACAAAATGCTTTGGTTTTTATATATTCTCACAGTACTGATATCATTACCATATTACCTCCAAATACTTAACAAATATTACATCCGGACTCCGGACATAGAGATATGTTCGGAGTCCAACGAAATCACGTCACCTGCAAGTGACAAAAAAATAAAAAAAAAACTCGTTTTAACACAGGGGAATATTCACTCCGTGTTATTCCGCGTTATTCAGGTGTTATTATTGTGATATTCATGTGTTATTGCGTTCAGAGAATATTCTCGATGTTATAATAACACAATAACATATTAATATCACCATAATAACACCTGAATAATGCAGAATAACACGGAAGGAATATTCCAGTGTTACCGGGCCGGATCATAAGAAAACGAGTTTTTTTTTTTTATGTCAGCTCCACGTTGAGGTGATTTATTGGACTCCTACATCTCGAGTCCGGACGTAATAATTTTTCCCAAACACAAGTCCTTTTAAGTGATTACTTTTTTCATATGCGTAATTTTAAAATGTAATTTGCTGTCCATATTATTTTATCTCTTTGAAATGACATTTGCTATTTCTTTTTAATTTTTCTTAACAATTTTATTTTTTTTCATTTGCTCAGGTATTTTTAGAATATGTGGATATAGAAGGTGCCACAAAAGCAAGACAGGGACTTCATGGAAGGAAATTCGGCGGAAATCAAGTGGTTGCCATTTTCTATCCAGAGAACAAATTTGCGCAAAGAGAATATGATGGTTAGCGATATAATACTATTTGCATTAAGCCCCTTTTTGTTCCATATATTTGTTCTTGTACCCTTTGGAAGATGGTGATTAGAGCTTTTCGATTTGATAAATATTTCGAAAACTTGTGTTCTCAGAAGATTTAATGTGAATTTTAATCTAATTGCGGTGAGAGTTTATTGTAAGGTTTTAAGCTTAATTGTTTTAAAATATAATTTGCATGATTGTATCCGTACGTTAAGAGTTTATGATCACGATCGTTTTTGTATGCTAAGTTTTCTGAGCGGTTATTGCCTACGGACACCACACGTAAATTTGCGTGTGGTGTCTGATCAGGCTACTGAAATACATCTTGTTATTTTTTTATTGTTAGAGTGGGGCCCATTCAATATTAACTTTTATTATTTTTTAAGGAAGATTTACATACTTAGCACTCAATTTTTATTTACTATCTAATACCCAAGCTTCAATTTTACATGCCATCTTACCTGTGCATGAAAAGGTGTGAAATGATGATCTTTTTATTGTGATATGAAAGAATTGGGTGGTCTAGATGTAAAAAAGCAAAATTTTGGCGTGAGATATGTAAGTGCATAGGAATTGGGTGGTATGCATGTAAGTTTTAGGCTGAATGCTGAAATGCGAAATAATTGGATGGGCTTCCCATCCTATGGAATGTTTGCAAATAGCTTGTGCTATATGCTTATTTGGTAACACGTGATTCTTGTATATGCACATATTTTGCACCTAAGCTTTTCTATTTAGGTGTACAGCAATTTTTTTTTGTATGATATCAAGGATCCTATAGAATAATTTTTGAAAAGGGTAATATATATTTTCATGCATAAGTTTATAACTAGGGGTGTGAACGAGCTGAACACGAGCTAGCTTAGGTTCTTGTTTGACTCCTTTATATTTAGAGCTCAAAAAGTGTCTGTGTTCAGCTCGTTCCGTTCATGTACTAAGAGTCGTTTCGACAATCCTAATCATGTAGCAATAAGATGTTAATGATGGGGTAAGATTTAAAACATCATTTGAATCTAAATTAATAATTTTATTTTATTTTCTTCAGTAATACTTTTCATTATTATAAGTCTTTGTAGCGTTGTGATTAATTAATTTTTTTAAAAAAATACTATTCATCAAAGATTTATCATGTCGCGACAACTAAAATCCTCCTCATAAAGCTAATGCCACTATGTTGCGATAATATTTCAGCTCTCGCTCTAATCAATAACCAAATATTTCGCACAAGAACCAGTCACATTCAGATTGACATTCATTTCATTTAGGAATTCATCACCAAAAAAATATCACAATTTATCACGGCACGACAACTAATCAATTGACAGATAATTTTATCAAAGATCTCAACTCTCACTGATTCCACAACCTATACAACAAGCAGATACTTCCTCCGTGAACCATCAACTTAAAAGGTCTGTATTAATTGGTAGGCTCATAAAGACTGTATATATATTTTTTTCAATTATTGTTTTTGGCTGAACTGGTACAAGTGCATCTATATGTAGACTCCCTGTATTGGCATTTGTAACAACTCACGATAGAAATAAATTGACTTGGCTCTCTTCTCCCTAGTTCTTTCTCTCATGTTTTTCCTTCTTCTTCTTCACAACTTCTTGTTTCTCAAGTCATGCAGCCAGCAACATACAGTGTTTCATCTTCTTCGTTGGACTTGTGACGCTAACATCGGCAGTGTTTGTTGTGTGTTGTCCAATTAAGCTAACTCAAGGAAAAAGAATCATTCAATTGTATCTTATCCATAAAAGGATTTGATTTGAACTATTCGTTGAATACATTTAAAAGAATATTTTAGTATGTTTTGAATAATATACTCAGTTTTCTTCCAAAAATTTGATGATATTTCACTTTTATCAGAAATTGGAAAGTGAAAAATTGTTCATGTATTTTTTGGGATAATTACACACATTGTACCAAAAATACTGCTATTTACCAAATTACAACCTATTTTTTTTCTTTTCGAACTATCGAATGCAATGTATTTACACATGCCCAGATCGAACTTTTGCGAATTCGATAAAAATGACGAATACGTGTTGGAAGTTTCTTTTGTGAATTTTAATATTTGAGTGATAATTTGAAAAAAAAAGGTATGTAAAAGGGTGATTGTTCTGTAGATGTCAATAATTTGAGTTCATTTTATGTGAGCACCATACTACACTAAAGTTTGAGTTAGAAATAATATAATATGAGTTCTTATGTAATCATATTTTTAAAATAATAATATTGAATCTATGTTGGGGAGAATTTTCCTGAAGGATAACCAGAGCTTTCCAGTGGGACCCTACACGCGTTTTTAAATAGGGTCATTAGGAGTTTGGAAGTTTAATGGGACTCATAAACAGCTCATTTTTCAGCTTAATATTGCTTATTCAGCTTTAGAGCAAGAGGAATCAAAATAAATATTGGTCAGAGACTATTATACGAGCCTCTTGATCAATCTCATGCACCTAATAATTTCATCCCACACATAAGCGGGATACAATTCGTGACTGTCAACCAAAGAGTCATGGTAGGCGACATATATATAATGAGATGCAGTCATTTACTTAAAAAGAACTTTTTTTTTTATGAGTATGACGCAATAATCAAAGATCCTATGGGCTTCGAAGCCCACCACCCGAAGTGGTCGAAATGGTCGCATTGAGCACACCTGCTGAAGTGGTTGAACTGAGCCCACTGCTAAAATAAACAAACCAGCTACCAAAGAAAATCATCATTTATGCAAAGACATACATCCATTCTCGTTTAAAGCATCGTCTGACATCCATGTCGAGACCTTTTCATTGAGACATTGTGGACATGACAAAGTAATTTAATGGATAAATCAAAAACATTTACATCAGCACCGCCAAATTCTTATATATTTATGTATCAAATACTTAAATTATACTTTTTCTTTTCATTTATACCATTCAAATCTTTCATAACATATAAAAAAAATCATTATTTTAACAAAAAAAGAAGAAAGTGAAATGCATCTCTTCATACATAGGTAAAAGGACATGTACATAAAATTTGAAATTTAGGCGTTAGTCATGTAAATACATAAGAAATGGTGGTATACATATAAATCTTCCATTTGATTTATGCTAAGTTCATTTATTTCTCAAGTCAAACACTAATTTTATTATTATTATTATTATTATTATTATTATTATCTGTGTATGTATGTGTGCGTGCGTGCGTGTGACGTCAGTCGTGACCTGTTGATAGACCAGCCTTTTGAAGGTCGTAAGTCCTCTCAAGTCACGGGTTCAAATCCTCTCCTCACCAGTTTGATGATAGTGAGTACGGTCCTCAAATAGTTAAACACATGAGGATGTCTGAGGGTTCGTAAGAGAATTCGTATAATAGCCTCTGGCCATTCTCTTATAAATAGAGAGAGAGAAAGAGAGAGAAACAGAGAGAGTAAAATATCATATCAATGGTGGGCTTATTGAATAAATGAATATTAACATATGTTGTACTTGAACTAATTATTGAACTAGAAATGGTCACATCACGTAGGCTTTTTCATAGACTAAATCAAAACAATACAAAACGGCTCTAAACTAGCTTGATTAATGAACTTTCACTTATCACGAGATAAATTTGGATTAGGTGATGTTATTAACATTAAAAATCAATATAAAATAATTTGGTGTTAGAAACGATGCCATTTGGCATGCAATTAGGTTGGGAAACATACTTAATGCTTAAATAGTACTAGACGGGATTTGGACGGCACCTTTTGTTTAATCTCATAAGATATGGGAGATTAATAGGACCACCAATATATATAAATTATTATAATTATTTTAATTTATAGGAAAAAAAAAATGAATTACATCTTTTCATGCATGTGTTTGATGCAATATATGTAAAAAATGAATTTTAAGGGTTAGATATGTAAATACATGGGAATTGAGGGGTATGTAAGTAAATCATCCAAGAAGAAGGAAAAAGGGTGGAAAAAGAGTTGGCTATTATGCATGGCATGTGAAGAAAGATGAGCATGCGCATCTCTACTTTCTACATAAAAAATTCATATTTGTCAACTTACTTTGTGAAAAGCAATCCTATGTTATCTTCAACAATAGTTCTCAAGGAGATATATGTTAGGGGTGACCATTAGTTAAGTTAGATCAAAGAGTCATTGATTTGATTTGATTTATGAAATCACAAGTATTCAGATTCGTGAACTAGTCATCCAAATTGATCGAATGTATGATTTTTTATTTAGATTTGAAAGCTCAGTTAAACCCAAATCAACCAAATTAATGTGTGGCTTCGTTCTGCATATCATTTGATTGGTTCAATTTTGTTATATTTGCTTATATTTAGTTGATTCAATAAATTTATCAATCAATCCAATTGAACCAACTAAATGCACACCATTAGTTCAGGATTCAAAGTGAAATAATTCTCTAAGTAACATAAATGAAGACAAAAAAAGATGGGTCAAAAAGTACCCTTCAATCATTCTTTTTTAAAAATTAACCAATTGTGTTCATTGGAAACAAATGTGCACCACAAGATCATTTGAATTTTTATAAAAGTTTCACTTGCATCTAGCAAGCCTTGATATAAAATTTGAGAAGGAGGAAAATACTTTGATCCTTATATGCTCTATCATACTCTTGTGAGCATATAATGGCTATGAATTACATGTTAGTGGTGAAGTTTTTTATTCGATCTTTCTAATTATTTATTGCCTCAATTTTATTGATCACCTATAACCTTCACTTTGGTCAAGTTGAAGTAGTTGAAATTTAGTTGTTATTGTTTATTGCTTCATTGAACTGAGAGTTTCTTCAAATATCATTCATTGATTAACTTCTTAATGAGTGGCTTGAAATATGGCAATCAATAGTGACATGCTCATGTTCATCGTGATAAAAAAATTTTATTTTTTCTCTCTTATCTCTCTTAACATATGCATGAGATTAGCCAGCATGAAGTACTGATTGTACCTTCTGGATGTAAGGATCGAACAATTGAGAAGAAGAAGATTAGTTTGTTGCTTGAGCTTTGATTTCTACTTTAATGCTGACATGTGCTTGATTTTTTATAGTAAATGACATGAATTGAATTGGATGGTCGTCAAACGGTGGAAACATTTCCTCTTTAAGAGGAGGATGCTCCTACGACTTCTCAATCAGAGAACTCATGGTAGCACAACAACACAGACTACAAGGTGGGGTAAGTAACATCTCGGGTAGGAAAGAAACTCCAAGCAACCTTGGGTGGAGCATAGCCCGCACAACCAGAGTAGAGAAATGATTCTCAGCTCACGGGATCTAAGCATTATCCAGGGATGAAACCGGAATGACTCATGACAGGGACAAGATCTGCATCGCCAGAGGATGAAAAAATTGATTCTCAACCATCGAAAATTAGCATCGTCTCATGCTAGAACCGAAAAGAGTCATGGTGGGGAGATGATCTGCGCTGCTAGAGGACGGAGAGGTGATTCTCATCCAACAGGATTTAAGCGTCTTCTTGGGCAATAACCGAAACAAGTGATTACGGGGACATACCACACCACCATAGGATGAAAAAAGTGATTCTCAGACAGCAGGATTTAAGCGTCATTCCGGGTCGGAACCAAAGAGAGTCATGGTGAGGATGTGGTCCACATCATCAAAGGATGGTACCGTAAAAGGTAATTCTAGCAACCATAGATAGTGCAACACCTGCAAGGATGGAAATCTTCAAAATACGGAAGGACTACAAGAGAGACTAGAAAACAAGAAAGAGAATCGTAGTGCATTGTCATCTGGTACTAGCCTAGCACCAATACGAGCTGCTACAACAAAAGAAGTGCTATATGCACAAATCCTCCTTTTTAGAGGAGGGCATGTAGCAAACGTTCGGTGGGGACATGGTCCGCACAACTAGGAAATGTAGTAAAAATGGCTCTCAATTCGGAGAGTTGACGACACCTTCTAAACTAGAGTTGGAACATGTATAGAAACCTAATGCATGACATGTTGTTGAATTTGCAACAATCTTTTCCTAGTCCTCTTGGCATTCCT